ATTATGATTTTTTCTCATTCCAAAGTATTGTTATTGAAATTGATCGATAATCAATTTTAATGTCATTATATTTAATTATTATTATATTTTTCATTTCAGATATAATTGATATCTTTAGCAGATATTAATCCATAATGAGATGTTAAAAAATACTTTAGACTAATAATATTCTTTTTAGTTAAAAATTAAGTGATTACTGACGAATTTAAAATATTAAATATACTGTTACAGACACTGGAGTATAGCGTTGAGTAGACGATTCCGCTCATTAAAATTATGGTTCGTAATAAGAAGTTATGGTATATCTGGGCTACAAGCCTATATCCGAAATCACGTTAAACTTGCTAAAAGATTTGAAACACTCGTTAAAAAAGATTCTAGATTCGAAGTTTGCAATGATGTCGTGGTAAGAGAATATTTCTTTAGTATCATATACCGTATTCGTTACATATACACGCATTATTCACATCATCAAATTTATATATTATGTTCATTATAGCTGGGCTTGGTATGTTTCCGCGCTAAAGGCAGCGATAAACTGAATCAGAAATTATTGAGCACCATTAATGACTCGGGAAAGATACATATGATTCCGGCGCGAGTAAATCAACGTTACACGATACGTTTTGCACTCTCTGCACCTAATGCAACTGCCAGAGATGTTGGTAAATTATTTTTACACTCATCTTCAATTTTACAATCGTCTTCTTGGATTCTTTGCTGAAGACATTTAATCTTCAAATTTATCTAAATAAAATTTTCTTTGAAAACTTTGTATTTCGTTGATAGTTGTGTAAAAATGCTGAAAGAATGTAATTATTTTTTGGATTTTGTTATATTTTCTGTTTGAAGAAATACATACAACGTTATCTTGAATTAATTCCACAATGTTTAAGACATAGCATGGAGCATTATAACGGACTATCTATCCGAATTATTGGAATTCAACGTAAGTTGGAATATAATTACTTTCATATATTATAAAAATTTTTACGTATCTCTATCACCGCGTATTTACACACCAGGACGTAATGGATGAGCTAGCGGACATTCGCGAGAAGAAGAGAAAAGCCACCTTGGAGCAACGAAGATCCTTCTTCGTGCGTATGGTGTCTGATCCTGCGATTCAGCCAGGATTCACAAAGACTCCGAACAGAACAGGGGCTAAACTCGACACGCAGGCAACGATCGGCGGTATCGGATCAAATACTCAATCCGGAACGTAAGATGATTATATTAATTTTTTATTATATGTGATTTGCTGGAATTAAATTCTCTAGTCATGTATATATAATCAAAAGAAATATATTAAACTTCCTTTACTTTTAGAAAATCTTGGATATCTTGGCCGCTTGCTTATCTCATGCAGGCAAAAGAAGCTGCTGATACCAGTGAATTATCACTTAGGTATAGTTTCTCTCTTTCTCGTTATATAAATGCTACAGTTAAATACATTAATATTAAAATCTGTTTTTTTTCCACATTTAGAAAATCTTGTCACAAATGTAACGCTCAAAAACATTGCATTATTGTATAAACGGTGCAATGCAATGTAATACTCCACTTTCCGGTATCGATATCTCGTCTACCATTATTATACACCAGGACAAATAGTGTTTTTCCCCTTATCATCGCTATTATATAGATCGCTATTACAATGACATTTGACTCCATTGAAAATACGAGTCCATTACAGAATAGAGTTCGAAGCGTAACGTTATCTATGTTTAGACCGTTGCATTCAATCGACTTTTCTTTTCCATCAGATATGGTGACTTTTACTTGTCTCTTATTTTATAATTCTATGAAGATCATTTTGATAAAGGCGAGAGATAATGATGGCAAAAAATTTGCGGGAGAAACGCATTTCATCGATTACCGTTTTAAATATATGTTATCTAATCTCTTATTATATATCTTCATCACATCTTCTTGGATTCTGCATGCACAGGTTTCGCCACTTGGACACTATGGTGCGTCTGAAGGCTGGCGGTACCGGAAGTCGTCGCGGTAGCAGTAACGGATGCAGTCCGGATCCGTCCCCGTCTGCGTCGCCTTCGCGTGGCAGGTCACCCAATGGTCGGGCGTAATTCGTTTTACATCGAGCCTTTCTTTCTTCGCGAGGAGTTCTTCTTTTAAACGCGACGGTCAATCACGACGGATGATTCCTTACGCGTTCCAAAAAGACGGAAAATAAATCCGCTAGCTAACAATAAGACTACATCGGGAACTGAGATACTGCCGACAATCTCGATATTAAAGCCCACCTTAGACAGCTTACACACAATTTGGGAAGAAAATAATTCTTTCTATAATTTTATGTATAGAATTGTAAATATAATTAGAAGAAAAAAGTCTCACGTTAAAACTAATCTCGAATTGTAATTATACATGAGGGTATAGATCATGTCTTTTGAACCGTGCAAGTATTATTTAATTTTTTATTATCTGCCTCCTCGGGGCGTCAATTGCTATCGCAAACTGCATAATTAAAATTATAAATAGTGAATTACGATTACTTAATTTGTCAGTTTATTGTGTAAACTTTTAGCGTGCATTTTTTTTTATATCTGTCCATAAAAAAAATTATGTATTTCAATCCTACATGATTTTGATGCTGCAAATATATTATATTATCCATATTGTATCAAATTATATACATAGAATGTTGTCTCAAATTCTGTCGCAAATTATAGACAAAGGGGCTAAAATGGGCTTAAACGAAGAATAAACTCTGCGCGAAATTGCTCACCGAGAGATACAATCAATAAGATGTCGCCGAAATCGCTCCATGGTATGTTTGAATCGATAAGAAATTAAATACGTTTTAGTCTCAACTGTGTCATTTTTTTAAACTCCCCGAATGATGTAAACTCCAAGAAATACTCAAAATATTTATAACGTCCTACAATATCCCTTATATATTTTGGAAAAAATCATACAAAGGAAATAAAAGGCAATCAAGAGTCAGCGCGGTAATTTGTGCGCATATGTTTTATTACAATCAAATTACCTTGATATTTTGACTGTGATAGACAAAATCACAAAAAGCGTAATCACAAAATATCAATGTAATTTGTGATTGTAATAAAACATATGCGCACAAATCACCGCGCTGGCACTGCCTTTTATTTTCTTCGTATGATATATTCATAAGAGCCTTTATTAGTTAATTTCGGGAAAAAACTTTTAAATTTTTTGAGTGTGTCTTATGATAAGATTTTTGAATGTGTAAAAGCTTCGAAGAAAGTTAAATATCTACATAACGTAATATGATAAACTTAAATAAAATAGATTTGAATAAAAATAAATGTAATATGTATCATTCATCACATGTATATACATACAAAAAATATTACTGGATATAATCAATCAGTTAAAAAAGTTTGGAAGAAATTGACGACATTGCAAAACAAAATTTAATAATTCCACTTATGACAAAAAATTTTATCACGATAATAAAAATGAGATATTTTTTAATTTTCGTTAATTGAAAAAAAAAATAAATTTTTATAATTTAAGATTACTTATAATTGAAAAATTATGAATGCTTCGATGTATTGTTTTATCAGAAAAATATCGATTCCACACCAGTTAAAGAAATCGTATGCGAAACGTGGGCATTTAATAGGTAAATCTGCGACAGCCTGTGTATATCGGCGATTTCAGGTTCGCTAATTTCGTTGAAATCGCCATTATAATACACGCGCAAAAAGGCTAGCCGCCGACCAACACGAACTCGGTTTAATTACTTCTCACGCGTTCACGAGCATCGAAGCTCTTACCGGGATCCGATGGGAGGGATCCAATTCGAAAAACGGCGGATGCGAGTAGATCATGCGTGAAGGTGGCGATGAGAAAACGAGCAGTGATCGGTGTATATGTGTGTGTACTACGAAGATTGACCGGTGACCTGTCACCGCTTCCACAGGGTATGTTGTAAATGTAGGTGAAGAGTAAATGTCTATTAATAAAACGGTGGAGAGACGAAAGGGGCAGGTGGGGGAGAACTTACCCCCTATGCGCGCAATACGGCACACTGTGTATGGGGCGTTTATTCAAACGGCGACCCCGCTATATAGCAACACCACAGCCATTGATGCTGGTCTTGTTACATTGGCTTTCGCGGATTTTCGCATTCTATCTGCATCGCGTCAATCGAAGAAATGTCACGTTAGGGAAAAGAATCGATCCTACGTAGGATATAATAGAAACGATACTGTTTGTATACGTTCGCTTCATTATTAAAAGCATTGAATGTGCAAAAGAAAAGCTAGCTTTAATCAGTCTTATAACAATGGTTTTCAACGTCGTAAGTCACTGATAGCGGAAATATATATATA